TATTAGAAATAACACAAATAATCAATCAAAATCTTATTTTTATGTTTAAGATATTAAAAAAGAAACGACTAAAATCCATACAAATCTGTTCAATTTTTCAATAATTTATAAATATTTTTTCAGTATTCATCAAAATTAGAACTATAATATGGCATATCTATTAGAAATAACACAAATAATCAATCAAAATCTTATTTTTATGTTTAAGATATTAAAAAAGAAACGACTAAAATTCATACAAATCTGTTCAATTTTTCAATAATTTATAAATATTTTTCAGTGTTCATCAAAATTAGAACTATATAATCGCATATCTATTAGAAATAACATAAATAATCAACAAAATCAAATTATTAGCTAATTCCTTTCTTATTTTTATGTTTAAGATCTTAAAAAATAAACAACTAAAATCTGTACAAATCTGTTCAATTTTTCAATAATTTATAAATAGTAGTCATCAAAATTAGAACTATATAATCAAATAAAAATAATACAAATAATCAACAAAATCAAATTATTAGCTAATTCCTTTCTTATTTTTATATTTAAGATCTTAAAAAAGAAACGACTAAAATCTATACAAATCTGTTCAATTTTTCAATAATTTATAAATATTTTTTCAGTATTCATCAAAATTAGAACTATAAAATCGCATATTTATTAGAAATAACACAAATAATCAACAAAATCAAATTATTAGCTAATTACTTTCTTATTTTTATGTTTAAAATCTTAAAAAAGAAACGACTAAAATATTTTAAGTTGTTATAGATTTTGATTCTTTGAATGTAAAGAATTTAACCCAAGTACAAAATGAGTGAATCATTTGGTGATTATCATTGGTATGGTTAGTAGGGTTGGGCTGTGGATGAGTGTGGATTATCTTAAAATATTGAAATTAATGAGTATAAGAGATTAGATTAGTGTCGTCGATGTTTGTTTTTTTTTTGGGAGGTGGTTGATTGAATTGCGTTGGGGAAAAGCTGCAATGTTTGCATATGGGGAGTGGCGCCCTTAAGGTCAAGTCGGGAAGAGACAAAGTGAACGTTTATGATTTAATGGATTCGCTGGCGTTGTTTCAGCAGATTGAAGCCTGGGTAATCTTATCTGCACGTAGTTATCAGCACTTGCCGTCGTGACGGCGCGTGAAATGTTAAAACCCATAGAGATTTCGTCCGCATAAAACAAAGATGACATGGGCGTTGAAGTGTGTGTACTAGCACAACTACTACAACAACAACTGCTGCCATACAAGACTTTCACAATAAACCTCTCCTCCCGGTCGGTCGCATAATGCAAATGCATGCATGCAGTGTTTGAATGGCCTTTCGGAATGCGACGTCCAGCATTGAATCATTGTCATAAATAAAGTTGGAATAGGGACGCTGCGGTGCTCCACTCTTATCGTCGTCATTTCATCCTCGTTGACTGAATGACTGAAAGACAGCCCTGCAACTCCGTCCATCGGCAAAACCTGGTCAAGTTTGTATTCTAATTGGAAATTACTGCTGTCATACATTCGATTAATCTCTTTCCCTTCGACATCAATGATAAAACAAACAAATGGAACAGAACAGAAAAGAATCGGAATATTTGCGCTCGCCCCACAGCCGTTTTGAAAGTTGCCACCGAATGGATATTTTTTTTCTCTTTTTTCCTCAATTAAAACTCGAGACTTTTTAATAAGATACTAATTTGTGGGCGCGAGCAAAGTGCGTGCGCTGCATGGGAACTCCGCTCAAGAAGTTTTCCCTTTTCAATTTATATTTATATATAAATAAACAATACAAGCGAGCGAGCAGCAACACAAACGTTTTCTCCTTTCATTCCGAACTGAATCCGATAATAATAATAATGCCCAAGTTAATTAAAATACACGGCACATTCGCGTCCCCGAGTTCTATTCATAGATATCTATTCGGAAACTATTTTCAATGCCTCCCCGCCTCTCCATCTCTTGTTGTACCATTCCTATTTTATAAATATATATGTTTGTCTGTGTGTGTGTATATACATAAGCCACCCAGAAAATGGGTCAAAACCTGAAAATAAAGTATCCTTTTTGTTTCGATCTTCTCGCTCAATGATCGCCGCCGCTTTCGTGCCACCAAATACACATTATAAATCTACACTTTTGGTTTTAACGCTTTAAACTGTATCGTTGCGCAAACGCTTTAATTATCCCTGGAAACTATACTTCGGCGCGTATACATAGACAAAGCGAATTAATTTATCAAAGGAAAGCACAAATTCCGACTCGGGATATGCCTTAATAGGCGATCGCTCTAACTGTTCTGTGAGAGAATACGTTTGCGTGTTGTTATTGCGACACGTTTTTTCGCCGGGACGCAAAAAAACGAAAGAAAAATGAAGAAGAAGTACTAACTAAACTTTCGATTTTCTCCTAGTCTTACGCCGAAGAAGTAGAGAGAAAGATAAAAAAAAAACTTGCTTGCTCGGTCATAGAAATGTCAGTGATTAATGAATCGATCAATTTATACCGTGCAATGTCTCAATTGATTACAATATGTATACAAATTACGTTGCGGTCGATTCGTATGAGTGCGTATTTTAATAGTGGTAAATTATTGTCTTGGAAATATTAAAATTTTAATTGAGATTATAATCTTAGTGGGTAGATCTAGAATTTTAGCGTATTTTATCAATTATAAATTCTTGGCTAAATTTGTTATGGGGAATTCAATTGAATTGTTAACATGTTCAACTTTACTGAGAATAAATTTCAACTGAAATCTTTTTCCGCAAACTTTCTCTATATAGTTTACAGCAGGAGTTTCTTGTAATGGAACACGTAAGTTTTGAAATTTTCACGAAAAACCTTGTTTATTTCTTATTGTTATTTTTAAGATATTAAAAAAGAAACGACTAAAATTCATACAAATCTGTTCAATTTTTCAATAATTTATAAATATTTTTTCAGTATTCATCAAAATTAGAACTATAAAATCGCATATCTATTAGAAATAACACAAATAAACAACAAAATCGGGTAGATCTAGAATTTTAGCGTATTTTATCAATTATATATTCTTGGCTGAATTTGTTATGGAATTCAATTGAATTGTTAACATGTTCAACTTTACTGAGAATAAATTTCAACTGAAATCTTTTTCCGCAAACTTTCTCTATATAGTTCACAGCAGGGGTTTCCTGTAATGGAACACGTAAATTTTGAAATTTTCACAAAAAACCCTTGTTTATTTTGTAAGTAAGAATTATTTGTTTAATTAACTATTATCTTTTGCGGAACACCAGTGTTCAGCGGAACATAGTTTGAGAAACCCTGGTATACACAATGCACGTGAATGCAATGAAAATCGATTAGATTTGTTAATAAGCGTATAAGAGAGATGATAAAATGAAATTAGTATTATCTGGAGGCAACGTCCGTACGTAATTAATACCCGTTCGTTTGGATCTCTGTATGTAATGGCATAATCTGTTCGATTGTCCGTGGCGGATTTTATCGGGAAGGAAGGCACACACACACCGGTCGCACTCCACTAAGCGCGGATTATTAATAATAATAATAATTGATTATACAGTTGCAAAACGCTCGCTCGAAATTTTATGTTAATAACAACGTAAAGTTGGCGTTATTATCTGCTGCTGCTGCTGCGGAACGGGCGAGAAGAGATAGATAGATCTTGGAGCCGCGCAAAAATCCATAATTGAATACTAACGGGGATTGCGGCAACGGTCTCCTTCTTCATTAATTATGTATCAATCGATGCTTTATAATCATCATAGTTATGCCACCATACTAATCTATAGCAATTGCTTGAGTAAACTAAATTTCAATTAATTAAGTTTTTTTTCTTGTTCGTGATCAAAATATGAATCATCGATAATTTCATAGTTGTATTTAAGGAAATCCAAATAATTAAGTTTTAATGATAATTCCGTATTTATATGATTCAAATTGTAGTTTTGAGTTTGTACGAATGCAAAAGTATCTCTCTTAGTGAGTTTTTAGAAGTCCGCGAATGATCCCATTGCATAAGACTTTAAGATTTATATGGTAAAGGTTACGTGCTTTTGGTAAAGGGTACATATGAAGCTGGTTCTTCTCCGGCAGAACTTGTTCTCGTCACGCGAGTGTGGTTATTTGGGACTAGTGTAAGTGCGGCGAAGAAATTCAGGCCAATCGTCTTCTGTTGCTGCTGCTTCTTCTTCGTATACTTACGAAGTATTTGTAATAATTTCGGGATTGTTTTCTGCAATGTAACGTTATTAAGAACGTATCGGTTAACGCATATAAACAAAGAGTATGCGTTCAAGTTAGAATGTTGAAAAGCGAGGAAAGTATAAAAATATGAAATTATTTAAAACAAAAAAAAAACGAAGGATGGAGGTAAACCGAACGAAATACGTGGAATATGGCGTGGGCGAAGAGATCGGCGTGGGCCCAGGTACAACATACACATGCATGCATACACGTCGTGGAGACCTGCCTCGAAAAATGTAACAAATCCTCTGGTTGCTTTTTTTTGTTTTGTTAAAGATATATGACGTGTGTTTATCGGGCGTGCGATAAATAATTGCACCTCTCCTCGGCATCTCTCGCGATCCTCCAGAGTAGGTCATGAATAAGATGATGATGGTGTGGTGATGGTGATGATGATGATGATGAGGAGAGAAAGAGAGAAAACGGCAACGTGCAGTTTGCAATAATCCGTGGAAATAATGCACGTTCCGTTGTTGGGCAGCGGGCATCGGGAGGGGAAGTCGAGTGGTAGTAAAACACAGTTATTAGAACGGAAAAAGGCAATTATCCGACGTCACAAAGTGCTGAGCGCGGATGGATTATATCATTTATATAATGACTCTCGGTGGAAAGAAGCCTTGATTTAATAATGATAATCGGAGGCGGCGGTGGTGGTGGCTGCGACGATGACGATCCGCACTAATGAATGAATGAATGACTGAATATCTTTCTTTATTTATTTGTCTCTAAAACTCTTCTGTTCTTTTTGCAGGGCGATTACATCCGGCATCCGGTTCTGTACGAGCTGTCTCACAAGTATGGACTGCAGACCGACAATCTTCCGGACTCCGCGAAGCTGGAGGAGCTCAAGGAGATCATCCGGAAGGAGATCAGGAAAGAGCTGAAGATCAAGGAGGGCGCTGAGAAGATGCGCGAGGTGTCGACGGACCGGAAGTCTCTTAGTCACGTCACCCAAATAGTCAAGAACGCCAACTCGAAACTGAGGGAGCTCAAAAATGAGCTGAGCGAATTGGAGTCGCAGATTATCCTGTCGCAGGGCCAAACCACACCTTCGACACCACCCACGAATGGCGGTAAGTCTCCTCTCTTGACTCCTCTCTTTCACCTACCTACCTACCACCTACTCTACTCAACTACTTACCTACCTAGAGGATCAGGTGGATGCAAGTCGAAATGTGGGAACTTGCGATTCGCACGCCAACAGCAACTTCTTATTTTCTTTTTCCCCTTCGGTGACCAGCAACACGCAAATTATTATTATCACTTTGCAACGTTTCGCCCCCTTTCCTTTGATCTAATTATGCCGCTAATTACTCTTGCACACACACACACTCTCTCTCAAGTGGCTCACAGTCAAAAGATATGCACGATATTAATAAACCAATTTCGTTGCAAAATACTTCACCAAACTTCACATAATAATTGTAGTAATCATTCGAATTTAACATATATTATTTACTTCATTTTGCAATATCAATAATTGTTATTTAAATTGGTTCGCCGATCGTCCTGCCATTTCAGCTGGAATTTGCAATATTTTGTATGTGCTTTCGTCACGTATAATAAATGTACTTCCATTTCCATATACTCTATAATTATTTTGATACTTTCTTTCGAAATTTCTAACAATTATTATTATTATTTAAATTGGTTCGGTGTTTTGCAACGCGAAGGAAATATTTAAAAATACGATATATTTTTTCGTTTCTGAGAATCTCATTGTGTAAATCTCGCCGCTCGAGTGTCTTCGTCTTCCAAGCGTAATTTGGGTCAAAATCGTATTAGACAGCATGGTTCCACCAAGGTATTTATACCTCGAAGGAAATTGGGTTTCGACCGAAGTTCAATGACTGCGCGAATGCTTCTCACTTTTTCCTTCGCGTTTATTGTCCGAAGAATTCGCTAGATGAACATCATTATTCGGGCAATCGAATTCCTTTCCGAGTGATGGAGAGAAAGAGGAAATTCCTTCCCGTTATGTGCGAGGACAGATGACTCTAGGAAGAAGAGGAGGAGGTTGTTGTTGTTGTTAGTGCAGTGACCTTGGGTTTCCTTTTCTCCGGTCGTTGATGGCTGGAGGATGATGAGTCGAAGCGCATTCCAATAATTTTCGTCAAAAATCAATGATTGCAGATTCCATGTTCTCGCCGCTGTCGTCCCATCAGAAGGAGCAGGACGGCGCCAACCAGGATCCGCGACTGATCTACCTGGAGAAGCAGCTGAACATCGAGCAGAAGGTCAAGCAGGGAGCTGAGAACATGATTCAGAGCATCACCGGAGGCCACACCAAGGACAAGAAGTTGCTCGCGGAGGCGCAGCAGATGCTTCAAGATTCGAAGGCGAAGATCGAGTATCTAAGGATGAGGATACTGAAGGTGAAACACAGCATCAACAACAAGCAACACAGCACTGGCTCTGTGCACGACCTGACCGCTTCGAATGGTGAGGCGCGCGAACTGGAGACCTCTTTGGAGGAGCGCATCGAGGATCTGCGGCATCGTCTGAGGATCGAGGCGGCCGTCGTCGAAGGCGCGAAGAATGTCATCAGGTTGCTGCAGAACGGGAGCAAAGAAAAATCGGACAAGAAGGCGCTCTCCGAGGTAAGAAACTACTGGTATTTTTAAGTTGCAGTTTTTTTTGGAAACCCACCGTCGACCGACGACGTTCGGTCGGTTCTCCGTTCCTTTGCCAAATTTAAACGCGCGCCTTTCTCGCAAAGCGTCGCGACGCTGGCTCGCGCTCTCAGTATCCAACTAAATCCAGCGAAGTCAACACCAGCCCGACCGTACGATCGAGACTATAAGTGTTTCAGTGCCAAGCATATTTATGTTTACAATTAACGTCGCCAGTGAATTAGACTGTTGTGTTGCAACTCTTGAAGTAACGAACGCTTGATCTCGACTAAACTAAACTCTACGGATCTCATCGCCATCAAAAATCAGAAAAGCGAGAAAGGGCACTTCTCGAGTTGTTCTCATTTAACATACTTTTTTCGATCTCCCAAATCACGGTTGCCAAAAATAAATTGCGTCTCTCGTTCGAAAAATCCTTTTTGTTTTGCAAGTGTGGTCGACGTACTAAATTTAAATGGAATAATCCAGGAGGACAGGAAGGCGATGGTAGATACTACTGTCTTCTGGCTAAATATACTCATCGCCTCTAGGTGACGCAATCTCGGAATTAAGTCACTGAACTCATCGTAAAACATGTGATGTGATGCTTTCAATTGCGTAATATGTACACAAAGCCACAACCTTCACCACCTCAGCAGCAGCAGCAGCAACAGCAGCAGTCTCTGGACCCATCGCAGCAGTGGACTGTCCATGCCCAATTCACGATATCCCATGATGGGATCGGAGACCCGAACACTGCTCCGCAGACTCATACCGAACAGGACGAAAACGGCGTGCGGATGGTCTACACCTGGACCTCGCAGCCGAACGCGAGCGAAGAGCAACCACCTGAGACGGGCGGTTCCTTCCAGAAAGGCAATTTACTCTTTACGTCAACCCCTCCGCATCGCGACTCCAAGAACGTAGATTCTTCGGGTTATGGTAGCGAGATGCTTTCGCCCAACTCGTACGCGAGCGGGCATTTCGGTGGCCGCAGGAATTCTCAGGCCTACAACAGAAGATGCAAGAGCACCTGCAGCATCGTCCTCTCCACCAATTTCAACGAGCAGGTCGGCAAAGCCGATGATTCAGAATGTCAAAGTCAGTGCGGTAGAACGCACAGCCTCCGCTGCCAAACGCCCACGCTCAAGTGCGAACGAAAGGACGCGTTCTACGGCTGCGGCGATCCTTGGTGCTACCATTCCAATTATGGAGACGACCTGAGGTTCTCTCCAGTACCCGAAGGTGAAGAACTCAACACCAGTTGCAGTAGCAGCAGCAAGAGGCCGTCGCGAGCGAGCACTTACAGCACGCAGCATCATCCCCGTTCTAAGAGTTCGCCTCCTAGGACGACGGACAAGTGCAAAGACGCTTGCGTGCAAACGTACGAGATGATTGATAAATGCACGTCGCCGCTGCTGAAACCCGAACAGGGCTTCAAATTTAACAGGAAATCCAAAACGAAGTATCAGGGTCGTAGGAAGACCGAACCCATTCATCAACGTTCTCATTCGCCTTCGTCGTCATTCACTCCAGATAGTCTCGACAGTCAAAAGGTACAACGAATTCTCAAAACTCGTATTGTTAACATGGAATGTCCGCCTTTTAAATGATTTAAAGTAATACCAAAGTTTTTTTCATTAATTATGTAATATTTCCAAAAAAAAATATAATCAAGGTTCTTGGACATTTCATGTGATATATGATTTTATAAATAAGTGTGATACTTATTTTTGTTTCAAATTGTTGTAGAGTAAAAGAGCTTTGAGAGCATTGCCATCGCGTTTGGCAGCTCCAGAATTGAACACAAGCAATTCCAGTGGCGACAAGAAACCTCGCACAGTGCACATAGATGTGTACTGCACCGGAACAGAAATAGATTCTGATTCGACAACTTCGACATCCGATTCTGATGATAAGACCGCTTCCTCTCCGCAAACGGTCTTCGAATCTGGTAAATTGAAGATAACTCACAAGCGGACGGAAGATGATCTGCCCTATCACTTGAAGAAGAACTTCAGCGGTAAGAGCAATGAGATCAGCTCGGCCTATCCGTCGCGCAGTTCCATCTCCAACATTCGCGATTTCGACTCGAGCTTCTCCAGCGTGCCCAAGTCGTGGTCCACTATCTCAATGTCTAGCTACGCCCTACCCGATGACGATTCGTTGGCAAATACGTCCTGGAAGGACACAGTCTCCGATTTCGGTTCGATGAGTCGCAGCAGCACCGCGCAAACGGATAGTTTGGATTTTGTGCCCAGGAAGCTGTTTCATAATCAAACTAGATCGAGCATAGATGAGCAGCCTGAGCTGGACAAGGATTTCGGTAGCAGCAGAGGTAGTTTGCAGCCGAGCGACAGTTTCGATTACGCGAATTCGGAGGATCGAATGCGGATCGAAAATATGGAGAGGATGTGGAACAAGTGGAAGTCACCAGAGGCGGAGAGGAGTCACGCTCTGCAACAGCAGAAGATGAAAGAGTATATAGAGAGGAGGATTGGTGACAGTGCAGATAAATCAGATTCGGACGAGAGCGATGGTTCGGAGAAACGGTGGACGTTCATCAAAGACGACGAAAAGAAGCTTGAGCGAGATTTGACGGTGCGGAGGGCGAGCAAGGAGGATAAACCGTGCAAGTCGCCCAGTGTATTGATCATCAAGAATAAGATGAGCAAAGATCCGACTCTGAGGGCGCCTTTTACTGTGGTTCCGGGGATATTTACGGAGCAGCGGGAGATCGCGAAGAGGTTTGGGAAGATCGTGGATGTGTTCAAGAAGCCCGGTCACCATGTGGGGCCGGCCAAGAACCCGGACTGTTCTTGCGACACGTGCAAGAATTACTTCGCGAATACTCGTTTTCGCGGCCGGACTCGATCCATGGACAGTGAATATAGTAACTATTACAATTGGAAAACTATGAACCGAGGCTCGGAACCGCCGAAGACCGATTCGAGTCTAGGCTACACGGATTTTTGATTGATTTCCAATTCGTATCCCCTTTTGTTTAATTTTATTTTTGCCATCGCCGCGTTATTTTTGCATTTATTTCTATACGGATATCTATTTTGTTAATGTTACTTTCGTATTCGGTTGTTAACGACCCTGTCCCCATTTTGTGTTCCTCGCTTTAAAATTAGTGTTTACGTTGGATGGGAATGATTTTTGCGTAGGCCCAGTCCAGTCTCTCGGCGAGCAGCAAGAAGTTAGATTTGCTCAAGAAGTCGCTCGAGTTGCGGCGGCAGGAGTTGCCGCCCAACAGTCCGGCCTACAATCAACTGAAGATGGAACTGCAGAACGTTCAATCGGCGAGCCCATTGCCAGTGCAGTATACAAGTTTGCAGCCGTTCAGAGAGGTCACCGACGGATCGACATTCAATACATCACATTCTACGTTCAGCCGTTGCGCCGCTGTTACGGGAACCCTTGAGGTAAGACTGATGGGTTGCCAGGATTTGCTGGATGACGTGCCTGGAAGGTCGAGACGCGATCGCGATGTCACCTCCAGTCCAAGAAACTTCATAAAAGGCGTCACCGGACGATCGTCATCAAAGAGCTACAGTGTCAAGGACGAGATCAGCTCCGAGATTATGGCCGTCATCAAGCTGGACAATCAAGTCGTCGGCCAGACTAGTTGGAAACCGTGCTCACAACAGGCCTGGGATCAAAGGTACTGACTATTTAATACAAGATAATATGTTTATTATATGAATGATGTGTGTTTTCACAGGTATTCGATTGAGTTGGATAAATCGCGCGAACTCGAGATTGGCATCTATTGGCGGGATTGGAGATCGCTCTGCGCCGTCAAGTTCTTGAGACTGGAAGAGTTTATCGACGATGTGCGCCACGGAATGGCGCTACAATTGGAACCGAAAGGTTTACTTTTTGCCGAGGTGAATTCAATGCTTACATAACGTACACTCGAATGTTAAACATGTATTTGTATTGTTTGTATGTAGATTAAGTTCCTGAATCCAATGATTTCCAAGCGGCCCAAACTCCAGAGGCAGCGGAAGATTTTCAAGCAGGAGATTACTCGCGCCAATCAGATGAATATTAACGTAGCCACCTGGGGCCGCCTGCTCAAACGCAGCACGCCTTCCATACCGCAGACAAACATATCGCCGACAAATTCTTTAGAAACACACGTGAGTAAAGTGCTTCGATTGCGATTAGATAACATGCTGATCGATGGGATGTACGTTTCGTTGCAGTTTGAACTTGAGTCGCCACCAGAAGATAAACCGGAAACTCCTGGTGAAATGCCGGATCCGCAGTTCGGCGGTTTGGGCGGGCACAGACCTCTGGGTGTGTGCGTATTGCCGCCGTCGTTACCGCCCACTTTGCCGCTACAGCCGCCACCCGTTGCCAAGAAGAGGGCCCCGCAAACGCCACCCCCATTGCCTCCTAGATTAGATTTAGACGAGGTAATTGCAAATTTATTTGAACACAACACACAGTATACAAAATATTCTGGTTACACACACACACATATATACACTTACACATGTAGTTCGTCTGTCTTGTGTTGGTTGCACATTTTCGTTTCGTCTTAGTTTGCACATGTTTCTCTTCTACGGTTACAGAACGCTGCGTTGCGCGAATTTGACTTCTTGCACGCAGAGGAAAGGGAGCCGAGGGTGGGGCCTTTAATATTATCCGCACCCACAACTCCCATAATTTCACCAAATGACAATATTATGGTACCGCCCACACCTGAGCCAGTAGTCGAATTCCCCGATGACGAGGTATTATTATTACTACTTGTTGTGCATGCTTCTCAGTCTGTCGAATCGTCTGTAGTCTTGTTGCTCTGAATGTTTCTCATGTTTTGCGTATTCTATAAATGTTTTATGTTTCTATGTGCTAGGCTCCACTCTATGATGTTGCTAACGTGGTGCGACGTCCCGCTCCCAGGGAATTGGCATACAGAGACAGCGCTTACGAGTCCCGCCGGCACTCGCAATACAACGGCATGTCTTTGGATAACTTCAAATTAATCAGCGTGTTGGGTCGAGGTCACTTTGGTAAGGTCATCCTCTCGCAGTACAAGAACACCGGCGAGTACTTCGCCATAAAGGCGCTGAAGAAGGGCGATATCATCGCCAGAGATGAAGTGGACTCGCTGCTCTCGGAGAAGCGAATATTCGAGGTGGCCAATTCGATACGACATCCGTTCTTGGTGAACCTTTTCTCCTGCTTCCAAACGGAGGCGCACGTCTGCTTTGTGATGGAATACGCGGCCGGCGGTGACCTCATGATGCACATCCACGCTGATGTTTTCAACGAGCCCCGGGCTGTCTTCTACGCTTCATGCGTGGTCCTCGGACTGCAGTATTTGCACGAAAACAAGATTATTTATAGGGATTTGAAGCTGGACAACCTGCTCCTCGATACCGAGGGGTACGTGAAGATCGCCGATTTCGGTCTCTGCAAAGAAGGCATGGGCTTCGGCGACAGAACGGGTACGTTCTGCGGCACTCCCGAGTTCCTGGCGCCCGAAGTGCTCACAGAAACATCGTACACTCGCGCCGTGGATTGGTGGGGTCTCGGAGTGTTGATCTTCGAGATGCTCGTTGGAGAGTCTCCGTTCCCCGGTGACGACGAGGAAGAAGTTTTTGATTCCATCGTCAATGACGAAGTCCGCTATCCAAGATTCCTATCGCTAGAAGCCATAGCCATTATGCGAAGGGTAATAAATAATCAATTAAAAAAGAGATTCGCATATACTAACTAATGCATTATTTTTTTGTAACAGTTGTTGAGGAAGAATCCGGAGAGGAGATTGGGATCAAGCGATAGGGACGCAGATGACGTTAGAAAGCAGGCTTTCTTCAGATCGATCAATTGGGAAGATTTGTTGCACAGAAAGATACGGCCTCCATTTGTACCTACAGTCGTAAGTTCGATTCACTAATCGTTGTTTAAATTAATTAATAACAAATAATGACCCAATCATACGTTTTAGCACTCGCTGGAGGATGTCAGTAATTTCGATGAAGAGTTCACATCGGAGAAGCCGCAATTGACGCCACCCAAGGAGCCGCGACCTTTGACCGATCAAGACCAAAACCTGTTCAAGGATTTCACCTACATGGCAGATTGGTGCTGACAAGATTCTGTTGAGAAGGAAGAAGCTAACACATTAAGAGTTGCCAAATTATTTAAAGGAAGAAGCAAAAAATAATAAATAAATAAATAAGGAAGAGAGACAGAGAGAAGAAAAGAGAAGAGAAGAGAAAACAAACACAAGTATATCCCAAACAGTAATAATCTTTATCGCATAAGGAGTTCATAAGGAAAAAATAATGGTTAAGAGATCTCTTGTTTTACGATTACATTTTATTTCAATTTATTCTTAATTTGAGAGAGAAAACGCGCGAAACGCGAAAGTTAGCAGTCGAGTTTTTTTTTTTAATTATTTATGTATATTGTTTAGGTGAATTTACTAATAGTATTTTATCTTTTTTCATTATTAATTTCTTGTAGTAATCCGGCTGCAGTTCTCATCACCTCCACATTTTATTTTTCTTTCGTTTCTCAATTAATATTATTTTTCTCCCCAACACCTACAATCAACCTCCTGCGCCATCCACTGGTTTTCTTGTATATATTATACATATATATATATATATTTTATCTAATTTGCGGAGAACACCCGAATTTTTTCCTTGGAAAATTACTTTTTTACTGCAATTATTATAATTATTATTCAAGTTTTCTTTTTCATTTTGTACGTTGTATTTTATAAGACTGTAGGAGAGGGTTTTACATTATTATTATTATTTTTTTTTGTTGTTGTTCGGATTTCTGATTCTTATATACATGCATACTTACACATACACACATACAGATATAAATATTTATATATATATATTTTCAGTTGGAAAGTGCCTGTGGAAACAAATGAAAACAAGTGATTTATATAATAATAATAATATAATTATAATGATATAATGTTATTACGGCTCATATTTGTACATACGTGTAGTTTACTAATGATACCCAACTATTTTTCGATGCTTTAACATATCTAAATTATGTAACAAATAACTTTTCATTCTATATATATACATTATATATAATAATGCGTAATGACTATTGATTACTCGTATTGTAATTATTTTAATAATAAAAAAAGAATATCCTGTACGGTTATGTATTCCAAATAAATTATAGATACGGTCCAGATATCATAAAATGATATTATTTTTTTTGCAATAATTATTCATCATTTATAAAATCAACAAATTCTAAAAACAATTCAAATTTAAATGTGACAGTTATTTAGTTCTAAGGTTTAAATTTGAAACTTTCAATTCGAACAGTGCTAAGGCTTACAGCGTAAACGAGATGGCGCAAAATAAATGAGTATAATCTTCGGATATTTGTTCAAAGATTATAGTTCAACAGTTTTTTTTTGCAGTTTTTCCTTCGTTATTGTAATTAAAACCTTAATTATAATTATATAATTAATCAATTCACTATTGAATGATTAATATTGTATTAACATGAGATCTAATGGTTTGAAAATTGAATTACAGACCCATCTGTAGGTTCTCATTATACCAGGGTTTCCTAAACTATGTTCCGTGTATGTAACCAAAGTTGCTTATATAACCTATAAATATAAGGAAACCCGAGTGAAAATGAACGATTTTGCCGTACGTTTCTATAGTGTTTTACAAGAAATAATATTATGTTAATAAATTGTTTTCGTTTGAATATAGATTGAAAAGTTTAAGCAGTTGGGATGCAGATCAAAGCTCCAAATGTCGTTGGCTTTCCAAGTGCACTTGGAATTGAATGAAGGTCTCAATCAAGTTGAATTTAGTTGAAACGTTGACAATAATCGTTTGCAATTTCAGTGAAGAAGTATTGGGACGTCGAATACAAATATAATGAGCAAATCGATTGTCTGTATCTGACTGCCTGCAAATGCAAAAATTCCGATGCGACGACGTTCATACCGATTCCCGCTTGCCAAAAGTTGAATTTCAATGTTATGAACAAGTACTTAGAATTAAGCCAAAGGTAGGTTACTGATTTAAGTCATCTTATTTATTTTTTTTACTTACGTTGTACTGTGAATTGCGAAAATATGTGTAGTATGTTTTGGAAGTACTTGCACAAGTTGTCAAATATATAAATTTTTTTTAACGTCATTTCCAGTGTATGCTTGGTGATCTGCAAGGCGGACTCCACGTGCGTCTATTACGAGATCACAGTTGGGATAGGCGTTCCTCCTCCCGATGTTCCCAACACGTCGGCTTCGGTTCAAAGCAAAAGGGAGCAGCTGGACAAGGAGTTGCAAAAGAACAGAAAAGTCTTGGAGGAGAGCGCTCTGCACGGAATACCAATCACGCTGAAGTCGAAGGATAAACCATCAGATAGCGACTACAGCGATTGACACGCCGGAATAAAACTCATACATCTCTCATTTCTCTTCTCGTTTTTTTTTCTTTCTTCCGTTCATATCCTGCACATGCATATAAAGCAAAGCCACGTTTATTGATTCGAGGCGATTTGTTTTGTAGGGCAATCGAAAGTGAATGCAGGCAGCATGCGTATCGCAGCGCAACGCGGAAAGAATCGCGCGATTCAGAATAGCCTGAATTGAAAATAGATTTCACCTCGGCGCAGACAAAAGAAGCTGTATACTCATATATATATATATATTGTACGTTTCCAAAATTATGCATCGCTTCCAATAACAATTTTCGTTCTCTTACCCAAACGAAGAACTTGGACGGAATTCGTTGTTTGCCTTCTGTTAAAATACGAGTACAGATCGCTCGGCTTTTTTACGGGTCTGTCGTTGATGTGGGTTATTATGTCTCCAGTTCGGATGCCGCCTCTGCAACAAAATCGCTGACGGAGAGAGAGATACGTTTGATTAATTTGAGTGTAGCTACATACTTCATGGCCAAACCCCCGTCAAGCACTTTCCACACGAAGAGACCCGTCTCGTTCGACTCTTCAAGACCGTTCTGCCAGTTCAGCGCTTCTTTGGCTATCGACGGTTTCATAGACATCGTCGTTATACCCAAGTTATTGTTCTTCGGAGGTTTCCTCTTGCTCACCACATCGATGCGATCCAAAAACTTTGACACGTACTCTAAAATTCAAGATAATTCAAAATTATTAGAATCTTTTTCAAATGATCCATGAAAAATGAGTTTTGAATTGAAACCCGCAGAGAATTAGATAAGTTTCGTGCAAAGTTTCTTTGATTTATGGTTAATGTAGAGGTGTTTACGTGCTGCTGAGGAGTTGCGTGAAATATTCATAACTCACCGATGGGAATGGCGAATGAAATCCCGGCGGTGATGCGTAAATTGTTAATACCGATGACGTCTCCGTTGAGGTTCACCAGGGGTCCTCCAGAGTTACCGAAGGTTATGGGTGCGTCCGTCTGGATGTACTTCATCTGGTAATTCCGAAGACCCAATTCGTCGGCGGTGCGATTCACGCAGCTTACGACACCGACAGTGGCCGAATGGCTCAATGATAGTGGACTTCCGAGTGCGACGACCCATTCACCCACGTTGACGTCGCCGACGTCCGCCAGGTTCAGCGCTGGTAGACGCCGCAGCCCCGGGTCCACCTTGATCAAGGCCAGATCGATGTTCATGTCAGCTTCCTCGACTTTCCCCTGGAAGCTCGAACCGTCCCGCATCTTCACGTTGATGATCGAATTCGGTTTGTTGATGACGACGTGCGCGTTCGTGAGGATCCAACCGTCCTCGCGCACTATGAACCCCGATCCGTTGGACACGATGAGTCTGTCCTCGGTGCTCTTGTCTATCCTCTTGGGATCCTTGATTTCCACGTAGACCACCGCCGGAGCGCACTGCTCGACCACCCGATTGATGAAATTGAACTTTCGTCTCTGATCCAATTCCGGTGGATGTGTGACGAGCTTTTTCCTCGGGCTGTGGTAGATGTATGTGTAGATGGTGGCGCAAATCGAACTGATTACAGTCGCGCCGCAGAACAACTTCACCGGACTCAGATCCGTCCGTTTCGGTACGTTTCCAGAGCTGTACTTTGCCCTCCCCATGAAGACATTGCTCCGCAGACACCTTCGCAATATCTTGTTCATCTTGGCGATGATGATTTACCTTGAAATGGAAGAAATGGATGGATGAAATTCACTGATGATTTTGATTTGTCACTGTGACATCTTCGAATCTAACAGCCTACTCTATAAGAAAATACGAGATTTAATGGTAATGAATCATTTTCAAAATTTGCATTTTCAAAAAAAAAATGTTTATTAAGTAATTACTCTAGCTCAACAATATTCACACTGATTTTCCTAATATTAGCATACACAATAACAATGTTAGCATTCAGCGTAAAAACTTACGCTTAAGAAATTCTTATATGAAAAGTTTAATAATGAATGAACGCTGAAATCCTCAAATTTACATATTCTGTTAAATTGTTCGATTCGGATTATTCATTACGTTACGTTTACTTAATCATCGAATTGTTTGAAACTTCCACGTTCGGTTGTTTCAAACTATTTACAAATGAAACTACATCAAAAGCATCAATTAAATCAGATCACATCTGCGCAATTTTGAATTTATATACATTCCAATTAGTAAGTGTTATTTTTATTTGTTTGTTGCTTTGGAAATATGCTGTGCGCGCGTTCTCATTATTTTTTTTTTTAGGGAAAAATGTTTATAAAGTCTGAATATAGATTTAAGTGCTCGAACCTGAATGGAATGGAAGGAGCGGATCGAAAATAAAGATAAAGCAGATCTCGGAAGAGAAGAGCGCAACTTTTGAGACGGAGGAGGATTTCGATCGTTTCTTTTTCTCGGATTCAATTTATTTAGCGCGTCCTCGCGTGTGTAATTTCTAGACACAATTTGAACAGCGAATTTAACCGAGCGACATGTAATAATGTCGAAGATTAATTATTAACCGATGGACGTGCATTTTTGCCACCAAAGATGCAAATCATTAAATGATTCATGGATTGCCATATAATTAAAATAAAGTACTTTCATTTTCTATTTTAGTATTTGCACTTAACTTCTTGTAAATATTTAAGTATATTATAATATTACTATTAAGAAGTTTAATGGATGAAATATTGAGAATTTTGCTGTGATGAAGGCAATAATATCGTGATTATGAGAATAGATAATGCCTGTTGTTTGTGTGTTATTAGGGTGGATTATCAGGGTGGATAATGGGAAGAAAAGGTAATTGGTTCACGAGGCTAATGACCCCAAAATATTGTGACCATTATAATAGTAATTGAATTAGAATTAGGGTAGATTTGTGCGCTATTTTCGATGGCGGACGATGTGTAAATAATCGTTCGACTCGACTCTTTGTGTGTTAATGAATGTAATTAGAACAAAGCTAATAAGATGAGGCAAGACGCTTTCGATGTAGGATATAGTGAGCGTGATGCAGTCTTTAATTAGGCTGTTATTTAATGACGTAGTAAAGTTTGGCAATGGTTGCGAGAATGGCTTGGTTTTAATGGGCAGGAGAGAAAGAGAGTGAGTGTTGATATCGTTGGTCCATCCGTGAGCGGGTGGCACACGGAGAATAGAGATTTAGTTTTATTTATTTATTTGGCTTATGCTTTGCGTTGTAGAGATGAGAGAAGATGCGGTGTACCGATGCGGTGGTAAGAGCGAATTTGTCGGAGGTGGCGGAGATTCGGGCGAGGTGAATGTCGGGTCCAGAAATAACCTCGGGGCGCGAGGAAAACCGCGACGCGCCGGCTTCGCGGAAGGCGGCGGCGGCGGCGGTTGCTGCTTTCTGGGACGTGCGGAGGTGGAGGTGGCAGCAGTCGACGGAGCAGCGGCAGCAGGCAGTCAGTTTGCTGCGGGCATGGCCGAGGAATATCCGCCGCACGTGTCGCGCGCCAAGGGCCGTTCGGCCTCGATCTGCGCGACGAGTTCAACAAGTATGGAAGTTTTGCCGCCGCCGCCGCTCCAGGGCGGCACTCCGGACACCGGGACGCCGGTCAGCCAACGGAGGAGGCGGCCGGCCGCCAGGTCTCAGAGCGCCCGTCTCACCGGGGGCCGATCCATCCGGAGGCGGGCAGCAGCCGCCGCCGCAGCTGCGACCAACAACACGGACACGGTCGTCTCCAAAGGGCACTGCACAAGCGAACCGAAGCTGGACCAGCCCGAAGCGACGCCGGACGTCTCTCCAAACATCCGCAGGAAGGGCTCCACCAGACGTGGCACCTCCGTCTACCATCGGAAGTCTGCGGCCTTCCTCGACGTGCCGGACAATCGCACCAGCTACGGCTCCAACACAAACAACGAGGAGGACGAGGATTCCTACCGTCTGCGCTCTTTCAGTTTTACCTCCAAAGGTAAAGGTAAAGGAAATCGTAATTTTAGGCACATAGTTTTATACCACACTCGAAAACCACCGAATAAATCTAAATCAACTCTCAAAACATAATGGGAATTAATTACAAAAATTTCACCTAAAAAAAACATAATTACTACTTATATTGAAAATGGAACGCGTTTCTTTACTTCTGAATTTTACCAAATAATAAAGGAGGACGAAGGAGGCAGACAACATTTGAAAGGCAGCGAAGCGAAATTGGACTCGAGTTAAACCGTAACAGTAACAGCCAATATTTCACTGCCTACTCTTCTCCCCAACTGGGAATTCCTAAAGCACAGTGCTCGGGGAATACACCATTGAGATTTGCTGATTTCCATTAAAACTCCACCGAAAAAAAAAACAAATTCAATTTGTAGTTTACTGTAAACAGGAACGAATGGAACAAACAAATGTTCGTTATTTTTATTAATACATAAATTGATCTAATATTAATTCAAGTTAACTCAAATATATAGAAATCATAAATATAATTAAATCTGTGTGGGTATTACAACTTTTGGATAATTGCGTTTCTGAATGATCATGTTAACACATCTGAGGATCGTTTGAACTTTTGTGCACAGATTGCCGAATGAAGGAAAGTATCCGTATTTAAAAAAGAAAGGCGTAGAGATTTTGACAAAGTAAAGCTCGAATTTGGGCAATATATCGGGTGAGCTGAACCATTCGGGCCGAAGAAATATGATGTTGTTGTAAGTCGAACGATTGATAAAGAACACACGGCCGGCTTCTCTCGCAAAATATTTATTTTCGACTTTTATACACTGTTTATACAGGCCGTGGTCATTAAGGTATTGGCGTCGAGAGCACGAAAAATAGAAATAAAACACACTATCGTCTCTCATAGAGAGAGAGAAAGAGAGAAGAAAGAAGGAAAAAGCAGCAGTGTTGTAGTGTTACGGGCCACCTATTTTTGTGCGCGCCGAAAATTCCAACCTAATTATTCATTGTCGCCGGAGATGCCGCCCAACGCGATACCTCTAATCGAACTGCGATGGGAGTTATCGTGATTCGGATGATGGATCTGAAGTAGATAGAATGGTCGGAATGGATGCAGTTAGCAGTGAGCAAACAGTGCGCGCTGTTAGCTAGCTAGCTAGCACTCTAAATATAATCAGCATAATGGAAGAGAGAGGAGCATCCATCCATCCCTTCGTTGAGTCGGTCAGAAATAGTATGCTCGTGTGTCCGGGTTATCGAACTCCGTCCTGCCTTCATCTACTTCATCTTCATCTTCTTCGCAAATACCCACCACCACTCTCTATCTATATATATATATATTTGCAACGTACTCATTTCGACGCAGTTAATCAAAGTGATGGGGCTTCCCCGAAACCAATTCGATTCAAACCCTTTTCCACTACTCTCTTCTGCATCAATCCATAATTGCCAGAAAACTAAATGCTAAACCGATTTAAAATAAAATTTACCTTCTTCATCATCCGAAGAACACCTTCCGACTACGACGCTCAGCACGTCCAAAACTGATGCTGCTAATTCGTTTACTGCGGATACGTTTATCCCATTTCCCATGCACTGACGTATTGTAAATACCCTCTGACATTAGCACGCTCGTTCGCGAAACTTTGTTCTCCAACTTCTGATAGTGTTTCGCATCCGTACGCCCAGGATTACGCAGCACCGGGATTATCATAATTAAAAACTTTGCTACACCACTCTTGACAGCACTACACTTTAATATTTGTGTTTCCATAACTACGAAGCATTTCAATAACACTTGTTTATTACAAAGTAAAGTTTGTCGTTTGCCAACGTTACTTTGCTATGAATTTATATTCATTGTCTGAAAACGACAACATCATCAAATCAAAAGTACACAATTTAAATACATTGTTCGTGATTACATACAAACGGGTGAAAGGAAATTCGTAATTAAACGTTGGCAACATGATTTGTCAAATGAAAATTAAAATTTCAACGTGCAGTGGCTCGTAAATAATTTTATTAAACAAATGAAATGTGATAATAATGATGATTTTTGTAAAGAAAATATATTCTAAATATTAAATTAATATACAAAAACAGAATTAATGCAATTTTGGCAGTTTTAAGTCGAATTGGTCATTTTTTTTTAAACTTATGTTCAGTGGTTTTCGAGTATAGTTTGTAATGTACAAATAAGTTAATATTAATTTGAATTCAATCTAACATTTAGCCATAATATAAAAAAACAATTATTGCAAAATTTAATTTTTACATAAAGAAAACAAGATTTTTTTCTGGTATTTTACTTGAATCTAAACTATATAAAATGTTTTAGTATTTACAAATTACATATCATAAAAGAAGATGAAAATTTCGAACGAAATATGAAACGAAATGACGGATTTACGACGAAGCAAACGAAACATATATTTATTTGATTAAACATCTTAATGAAATTGGATTGCAGCATACGTAAATAACGGAAAAAGTAAATAGAAATGAACTCAAATAGATGGGACTCTGAGGACGGTATCTTTTTGATTATAATTACGAGCGCATCTTTCATCCTGCAGCAATAATTCGCAGCGAGTTTTCCACTATATCGCACTCGAAGAAGAAAATCAACCCTCGTTTTCGCACGAATGCCGTCTGCTATCCAGGAAACTGAAAGAGTCATCCAGATATTTCGAGCACTATTTCAACGGTCCGGTCTTCCGGAAATCATCTTTACTTTTCTTCGTCTCGAAATATCCAGTTTACAAAATTACTGTGAAATACTGTTAAATTATTATATGTTACTGCAAAACGGTTAAATTTCATATAGTCAAAGACAGAAAGTCAATAAATTGAAAATTAATAATAAACAATGAAGCCTATTGATTTTCGTCTCTTTGTGTTAATAATAATTGCTGATTACCGCTTCAATTTCATTCATTAACAGATAACACATTCTCAATATGATAAAGAATTATACTAATAAATTTAATTAATTAAACAAATTATATTTTTTTAAGAAATAATCTTATATAATATTCATTTTCTCCGCCAGATGCAAATTAATAATTAAATGTTGGTAACATGTCTTGTAGATTGGTAGTTTTCATATATAAGTTGGCAACATGTTTTGAAATGTCATAAATTAATTTTTACGTATTGTCAAATTTACATTAATTTTTAACTTTCAAACAAACCTTACGCATTGAATTTCACCTATTTTTAACCGAAAATTACTTCGGTTTCGGCAATAAATTACTGGTAGATTGTCTGGTATAGCATTAAAAACTAATTTTAGACTTTGCTTCTTTATTTTTACGATCGAACACATTTGATTTATTATTGGAAAAAAAAAATATAGTAGATACAATTTTGTATATGAAAATAGTAACGGTAACGATGGTTATTTTGTTATTTATACTCATTGATTGTTTGATGTGATTAATGATTTTTCGATATAACAAAATTGTTGATGCTAATTAGTAACTGAAATAAAATATATTTAGTAGTATATACGTAATGAGAAAATATTATAAATCTGTGTATAATTGAAATAAGGTTACAAAGTGAACTTTTAAAATTACATTATAACCACTTTAATAAAGTTTAAAGAGTTTGAGTTAATGGAAAATCTGCGGCGCTAAACGATCCGTACGTAAGTGTATCAAAGTAGGCAGCGCTGCTTTATGTGGCGAAAACTGATAACGTTTTAAACTCGTTTGTTCGACATGAAATTTCAGACTGAAATGTGACAATTTTACGAAATGGATGCAATTAGTGCGTTTTCAGCGAAAATTCCGGCGATTTGTTCGTGCGTACGTTCATGCATTCGTCCGTTTTATTGATTACGTTTTCCACATACGACGAAAATCCTACGCGAAAAAAAAATACTGTACGCACGAAATGGGAAATTCAATGCGCCGTTAATTCGATGCGAATAAATTTGACATTACGCATCCGTGAGCAGGCGATTTTTTTTTGTACAGATTTTGTTTTTCTTCTTTGTTCAGAACTATTGACGTTCATTCTCATCATAAACTTTGACATTTGTTGTCAATTATTAACAACTATTGACAACTAATTGAGTTTATTAATAATAATCACAGTTTGCTAAGAAAACAATTAACTTTTTGCATGTTGCACTTTTTGTTTCATTTGTTAAGAACTATTGACGTTTGTAAACATAACCTTTGACATTTGTTGCCAATTATTGATTTATTTATAATAATCACAGTTTGCTAAGAAAACAATTAACTTTGATTATATTGCATGTTGCAGTTTTTGTTTCAATTGTTATGAACTATTGACTTTTGTAAACATAACCTTTTGACATTTGTCGCCAAGTAACTAGTTTTATACAGTTATTATATTTGTTTCTATGGCAATTAATAATAATGTGTTTTTTTTTGTGCTCCATTTAAAAATTGAGTTTGCCGAGCAAACAGTTGACGTTCGATGATATTGCACGAAAGGAAAAGCAGGAGCAGGTTCCGACGTGTCATAAAATATTCGTCCACTGTTTGCGGTAAAAGCCGGGGCTAAAAGGAAAGCCCCCTCTCGTCTGCCACGAGCGGGATTATCCAATAAACTTTTCCTCTTTGTACGGTCGAGTGTCCCATAATGGGACGAGACCATAGATTAGTCCAGAGATCGGACGATAACGCGATTTTATATTTTTCCTTTTTCATATATAAATACAAGAATAAACACAAAAAAAGAGGCAACAATATCGTGTTTTTATGGTTGGCTGCGTTTTGATCTTCTCGTATCTTCGCGGAGGGTTGAAAACACCTTCTGGTTGCATGCGGGTCATCCAGATACCGTCGGCCGTAGTAAATCATCACGGAAAGCGTTTCGGGTCAAAGCAGCTTCAGTCTTTGGCTTATCAGCTATTAAACCCGAGCCACTTTGATCGGAAAATTTGAGGATTTATTACCGAATCAATACACCCTCGTTTTTCATGCGATAAAAAAAAAAGAGAGAAAAGAAAAC